TATAGCCCATATGGAGCTAACAAAAACATTCTATGCATTTATGGCTAAAGAAGAAGCACCTCTTAGGCTAGTACCAAAAGAGTATTCCACTATTAATATGTGTACATACTTGAACACACCTGATTTAGTAAATGCCCAAAACATGTAGTGTCTTTAGTTCATATTGATCTGCGAGCACTTTACAATACTACTTCAATGCTAGGATGGTGCTAATATTCATCTATTCCACTCCTAGTCTATTTCTACCACTTGTAATTGCAATTCATCAGCAATAATTGCACACAGATACCTTTCCCGGGGTTCTTAGCCAGTGAGTAACCTCTATTCATTCATTTTAAATATAGAGAGGCATTGTGGGAAAGATCAAAATGCATCTTCAATAACATTGCTTCCACTTCGACCTTTTTCGAGGCTGCAAATGCGTCTTGAAGTCTAATCCTATATATGGGATTAACTGGTGACAGACAAAGAGATAGCAGGTCTAGTTATAGAGGCCTGATTCCTCTACATGCCGGGTCCCTATAGCAGGTCCATTCTCTATAGGGGACCAGTCCCTATAGATGTACATGTACAGTCTCTATGACAGGTCTACATTCCACAGAGGTATGGGCCATATGTGAGGTCCATTCTCTATAGAGGCACGATCCATTGTAGATGGCTCATCCCTATAGCAGGTCCATTCTCAATAGAGGCATGCTCCATATAGATGTCTTGTTCCTATAGCAGGTCCACTCGCAATAGATGCCTGGCCTCTATGACAGGTGCATTCTCTATTGAGGTCTGATCCCTATAGGAGATCCACTCCCTATAGGGAAGCCTGGCCCCTATAGCAGACCCATTCCTATAGATGTTTGATCTCTAGAACAGGTCCAATCTCTAAAGAGGCCTGATCTCCATAGCAGGTCCATTCTCTATAGAGGTCTGATCCCCATAGCTAGTTCATTCTCTATAGAGGCATGATCCATAAAGATGTCTCCTCCTATAGCAGGTCCACTCTCTACAGACGCTTCATCTCTACAGCAAGTCCGCATTCCACAGAGACTTCATTATAGCAGGTCTATTCTCTATAGAGGCATGATTGCTATAACAGGTCCATTCTCTATAGAAAGTTATTGAACTCTTACTTTGTTATCGTATAAGTCGTCCTGCCGGTCGATCTGTCGGCAAATCGCTGTGATCTTCGCCTGCCAGATATGCACATGCTCCAGGAGAGTACGGATCTATGCAACGCACAACACAGATGCAGAATTGCAACACGCAGCACAGAAACAGGATTTCAACACACAACACAGATACTGAATCGCTACACACAACATACACACATAATCGCAGCACACCGCAGAGATCCATGCTCATGGCAATTACGTCATTATTCGAGGTACGCGTGTATTTTTCAGCGACATCACCGGCACTGGCCTGTCACACAAGCATATGACGTCATGATGGTACCATTCACATAACCTCTACCCGCACAGTGATGCACACCCTGCGCTACACACACTGTGTACACAGCACCAATGAGTGGTCCCGCTAATTCACCACCATGACATTCGCATAACCTCTACAAAGCACACTCTCCAGTCCTGACAGCAACGTACCTCTCCCATATCGTGATCGGAGAGCATGATGGCAAAGCGCATCGCCAGCTTGAACCAGCAGCGCTCGCACAGCTGCAGTCGTCTACACGTCTGCAAGCACTGTTCATCAGTCACCTGACACACATACACACACACATACACATGGAGGCACACACACACACACATATATTATACACACGCCGAATGTACAGGACATCGATAAGTCATGTACACATGAAAGATCGCATTCCGATTGACGGGGGGGGGGGGGGGGGGGAGGGTGTGTGTTTGGGGGGGGGGGGGGTAATATGAAAGCAGACATGTAGAGGGGATGTACAGGATACAATGCAACAGGCACGTGCACGCACTAGGTCTCAGTCACGATCAACTCAAAAGAAAATCGAACACTCTGGCAGCATTGGTGAGAAACTGGATCCCAAACACCACCATGTTAGCTACCCATAGTAATGGTGGATGTTTGTGTAAAGCCTAGCGGACACTGCGACACACACTTCTACTGCAGACTTACTTTCAGTGCAAGGCTGTATGCTGCTTTCTGCCACAAGTCTTTCTCAGTTAGCAACTTTGCTGCAACAGGCATAGAAAAATGTCAACAAGCATATATGAGCGGAAAGACAACTAATAAATGAGAGGAAAGATAAATAATAATTGGCAAGGGTTACATCATTGATGTGATTGTATAACTAACGTTCCACCAATGTAGCCAGGTCATGCAGAGTAAAATAGTGTGACGACTAGACATAAACTGACAGGATACTGAGACATTCAACCTTGGCCTGACACCTACCTATATGTAGCTCCAACTAATCTCCAAAGCGCAAACCAACCGCCTTCCAACTTAAAAGGTTCGGGTTAGTCCAAGTTGGAAGGTTGTTGATTTGCACTCTGGATATGTGTTGGAGCTGGGTGTCAGGTTGTTGAATGTCAAGATTCTCTGTCAGTTTTGTGCCCAGGTGTCGCACTATCTGGTGTACTGGGCACGACCTGGCAACATTGGTGGACCATTACTCATAGCTCTTACCAATTACTATTTGTCCTTCTTCTTAACCATGATCTTATGATTGGCCGGCCCCCCCCCCATCCGAGTTCAACAAATAGCATCATGTAGGAATTCGGACCAGTAAACTCTCCTACACCGCTTGCCAGAATTGATGGCATGGGAGCATTATCATGGACATGGCACTGCAAGCCGGGTCGGCTGCTCCCAAAGGTTCAATCTTTCTACACGCATCGGCAAAGTCAATACCACTATTCTGGAATTTAAAAACATTGCTAGCTTTGATACAACTCGCAGCCATATGCTGTGTCTGCTTGAGCTTCAGGGGTCCGAGATGCATTCCATCCATGCAGGAATCCTGTATCAGTACTTGAATGACCCTGGCCTAACAGGGCATAACCTTCACTGTGAAGCTGCAGAGTACGTAGTACGCCTGTCAGTCTGTACTTGAACACACAGAGTAGAGTGGCAAGACAAACTACCTACCCTGTTCATTCTCCAAGCGCCGTCTTTGCAGCTCGTACAGTTCATGATACTCCGTCAACAAGCTACAAACAAACACATACACGTACACACACAAACACACACATCAGTGGACACACACACGCACACACGTCAGTGGACACACGTATCGTCCAGGCACTGGATACAAACACAGACTCCAATATTGGCACGGATCGTTCTGTCTGGCAGCGACTCGGTCGGCAAGATGCCACATAGGCTAACCAACAATGCCAGGACCGAGAACCAACATAATATTATATGTGGCATGGGCCAAAGTATGTTCTCATACTCAGTCCTGCCCTTTCATAGTGTGCACCAAGACAACACCAGCGAGGCATGTGAACCGATATTATACCAGCATAGCTATCGTGTGCCGACAGTCAATCCAGCTGGCAGAAGGAGAACACAGGATGTGCAGTGCACTATTCTGCCGTCTATTGCATGACGAGTGTAACGATTGGCACTTACTGTGCATTCTTCTGGGACTCCGCGAGAGCATGCGCCAGCTGGTGGTCATCGCAGTAAAGACAGACAGCAGAAGAGCGGACAGACAAATTCATTTACAGTGCTTCGAGTCTAACACATTATTACCCAAAACAAGCTGGATTCTAGATGAATGTGAGATGTAAGAAAACCTCAGCAATGTACAGCTTGCATGTTCCCAGTGCACTTTCTGCTGATGTCACTAACCTCTGCCTTGATGCTGTCGGCTTCTTGCTGCACAAATTTATCATGGGTGTTGACATCCTTTAGCTTCCTGCAGCGTGAGTAATGGAATGGACAAAGGTAGGTACATGATCAAGGTACTCTTCTGACTATGCAGCACAACCAATCTCACTTCATCTTTGACTATAAGGCACACAACCGTACCCAGCTGGCCGTGTGGAGTGTCAATTGTACAAACTATGCCATTGCACAGTGGGTTGGTGCTGTGGCACGGCCACAACATTGAAGGTTCACTGTAGACAATACTTTATTCAGATACAATTGCGTGGCACGATGATACACACACACACACACACACACACACACACACACACACACACACACACACACACACACACGCGCGCACGGGGATAAGTCACTAGCTCTTACTCGGAGAGAAACGCCACTTCGGATTCGAACTTCTGCAGCTCGCACGCAAGCTGCCGGTCCAGGGAGCGCTGAGCGAGCAGTTCCTCGTGCAAGCTGCATCAAGAGTTGACATGCACGGATCATGGGACACAGGTCATGTGACATAGGACATGTGCCATGTGGCATAGGTCATGTGACATAGGTCATACAACAACACAGGGCATGTGTATAGTGCTAGGTAATGTGGCTAGGACATGTGAGTACGTGACCAAGTCATGTGACATAGGTTAGGCCTAACAAGATGCTCTGCCATATAAGACACTGTGACGACAGCATTATCCTCCTTAAGGTGTAAGACAGCCTCTGCAAGGGCATTACCTACATGTATATTACTTGACAGCATGTACATCGGTGACTTGATGAGAAGCATGATCAAGCAACGTACTGCAGTTGGCTATCTACTGGTCTCACCTCAGCACTTGGCCGGGTATTCTGGCTAGTAGCTTGGTGTAGCGATCTCGGATATCCGCCAGTATCTGCCCTCTTTCCACGCACTCCACGCTCACCTGCACAACAAGACGGGTGTGCAATGGTAGAGAACTGTTTTGCCTTTGCGCCCGCTATAAAGTAGGAAGCCGGTTGTTGCAAATCATGTAGACTTTAAACTACACCATAGCTCAGTGGTTGGAGCATCGCTGGCCTCAAGCCAAGGTCCCTGGTTCGAGTCCTAGTGGCGACAGTCAAAACAATTCTTCAGACTTTTCCCTTTTCCACTCCCTCGACCAGTGAAAACTTTAAACTCACTCAATTTTCATGTCATACAGTACTTTAAGGTGCACCACACAGTTGAGCTAACCTGTCGAATAACTTCATGGAAGCAGACGTTATAGATGTCCTGTTCCTTTCGCGTCAACTCCAACAGATTATGGACCTGGCAACAACACAACAGACATATCAATGCTAAGAGAGAGAGAGAGAGAGAGAGAGAGAGAGAGAGAGAGAGAGAGAGAGAGAGAGAGAGAGAGAGAGAGAGAGAGAGAGAGAGAGAGAGAGGGGGGGGGGAGGGGAGGGCCATGGGAGGGGAAATCCCTCACTTGGCAATGTTTTACAATGCACAGCTTACCAAAACGATTGCAATAGACACACACACACACACACACACGCACGCACGCACACACACACACACACACACGCACACACACACACACACACACACACACACACACACACACACACACACACACTACACAGCAAAGCAAAGCTTGCAGCTTGTAACTATTTTAGCCAAGCTCAGCTTGCTACCATGGCTTCACTGACCTGTGTCGGTCCATTCATTTGAATCTCATCGTCGATTGCTGCCTGTTTCAACATGGTTGCCATAGTTTCCTGCAGCACACCAATAAGGAAAAGGCAAAGTGTTACTGAATCCCAGGCCAGTCGAGGGAGAAAGAACACATCATGTTGCAAGATCGCCTTGCTGCAGAACTGACTGTGGGCCAGTAGCGGTAGTTAGTTCCCTGTACTGTTCGCCGGTACGATCGGGAGTAGTGCACGATCACAATCATGCAGTATGGGTACCTGAAGCAAACATGACCATACTATTGCCACTTGATGAAAATCACATAATTATAGGCTAGCCAGTACACGGAAAGTTGGGTGTGGTCCTCGAAAGAGTGCTCAATGCACCGGGTGCAGAGCTTCATACAAATAGAATGGGATACGGAGCTCCGTATCCCATTCTATTCTTTTTGTAGGCTAGCCAGTACACGCACATACATGCATATGCTGGCCAGTAAAGTGTACATGAATCATAAACCAGTACACGTAGTGCAACAAAAGTTCACCACACTAAATGTACACAAAGGCACACCGTGAAAACGTTGGCAAATTCCGTTGTGACGAGTCAGAGTTTCATGGCTGAACCAATCATCAGACACTGCCTCTACTGCCTCTGTGCATATTTTTAAAATGTACACATTGAATGTAATCGTACCTTCAGTGCCAGCACCTGTTGCCTTCCAGCTGGGTGCCTGCATGGGCACAAGCACAAACAGAAACCGAATGGCACACAGCATGTAACAACAGCAGCAAGTGCATCAGCTCCACCGTTATTGAACCCAGCAGCCGTGAAAACACAAACTATACATCTCAGGGGCGTAGCGTAGGTCCCCATTTTTAGGGGGGGGGGGGGGGTGCACGGCCGCATATGTGTAGGATGGCTGGTGCATGTCATTCATGGTCATTATGTGTATGCCGAACCTAGGTCGAAATGCTTAGGGGGTGCATGTGCCCCATGCGGGCTACGTGCCTGCATCCTATCATATTGCTCAATGCTGTATGACCCACAGAGAAAACTAGAGCCCGACGGGGAGCATACCGGAGACATGCATGACACACACACACACACACGTACATGCAGTCAAACAGTATCATGTGTACAGTACAGAGACTAAGAGACTCAGGATTAGCACGGAGACTAAGAGATTCGGAGTAGCACACAGAGGCTGTACATTGGTACATGATAACTGGCCACACGGTGGCGACTTACAGACTGGGAAAGGCCAGCGAGTGATGAGGATGTTCCTGCAGTTTCGTAGTATGATCACTGCATGTACAGTCAGGCCATAGAGCATAGAAAATAGACACATGTTAGGACATGCACCTCAGCACACTGAGGCAATATCAGAAAGACACACAAAATGCACTTCTGTCACCAGTACGCCACCGCTAAAGAGTCTTGGAACTAATCGCTTGCCAGGTGATCTTCTGTTGCAGTGGTGCGGAGTCACTCAACACAGGCAATACCATGGCTACAGCACACTGTGTTGTGTGCTGTGTTTCGTATTGTAATGCGTAGTGTGCTGTGATTCAAAGCCAGCAGCTGCATACTAGTTAGGGACCGGCGGATAATGCTCGAAAAGGTGGCAGATTCTGCTCGAAAAGCAGTGAAATTGGCAGAACCATACAAACCTTATGGCGGGCAATTCCTCGAATTCTGCTCCATTTTTTTTATCTACATACCAAACATGCATGAACATGAACTTACCAGAAAAAGTACCGAATTCTGCCAATTTTCTGCCGGCAGAATCCGCCGGACCCTAATACTAGTATGTACCTGTCCATGATGTCAATGCCAAGTACACCGGTCGTCTTGCAGAGATGATAGTCATCCGGTATTAGAGTCTTGCTCTCCGCCTAACACATACACACACACACACATACATAAGTTACACACACACACACACACACACACACACACACACACACACACACACACACACACACACACACACACACACACACACACACACACACACACACACACACACATACACACAGATGTACAGACACGGAATGAAGATACAGTCACCTGAATCCAGTACTACGGTAAAGCACGGCGAGAACACCCCACCTCTTGATTTTATAGCCAAGGAAAGGAAAATCGTACGGCACAGTGCGAATAAGTTAATATGATGAGGACCCTGGAGTGTACAAAGGTCACACATGGAACTAGACCAACTCACTGTTAACTTTGAGTTGTAACATGTTCTTGTGTGAAGCTCACATCTGCTCTAAACAGAGTACGGACTGACCATGCAATGTGCAGTATGTGTACAAGGTCCATGCATGCTGTCTGATCAACCTACACTAGACAGGATCACATCTAAAACCTGATGACCACAGGGTGGTGGCGGCATTTTGATGGTGCACTCTTGCTGCACATGTACTGTACAGACTACAGTATCCTCAGTGCAACAAGCATCATTGGACTGCTGATTACAGCTACCCAAGCGAGTCGAAATGTTCTGTGTAGTTAACGTCCTGTTTACTTCTAACGATCACGGTACTAAGTCTTACTACAAAACATGGTTGCAGCCGTTTTGCGGTCTAACTCGTCACATATTCAGCGAGTCCAGCCAGCTCTAGTACAGGTGTGAGTATGACAGGACACAGTTCATGAGCTGTTATCGGCAAGGCTGGTAACACAGTGTGTACGGCTGGTGTGGGTTTGTGCCGCGAAACCAAACGACGTGCAGACTATGCATGGCTGAAGAGAAACGCTTGGTAAGCAATGGGAGGCCCATTCCTTACCAAGTGTTTCTCTTCATACCCACATAGCCACAGTGTACATATACAAATAGTCCCAGTGAGGTGCATTGTCATTGACATCGATCCACTAGCTGATAGCAGTGATAGCAGGGGCAACGTCGGAAGGTAATTTAGGGAAGTACGGTCAGCCATCTGAGGTCCAGTTTTACTTGTTGGGAGGAGTGACTGAAATATTTCGAAAATTCGAGTCCAAAACAGTGCTGTTGATTCATTCATGGGGTACCTGGGGGCAAAACGTGGTGCGGTCAATACCGTAGTGACCGTAGCGTGTCCGACGCCCCTGCCTGGATATGTGTGTGAGATATTACTCAATTGTTAGCATTGACCCACTGCATGCACTTCTGAGTCTTGAACAAGTCAGAGCCCCAGAACGGTGCAAAAGGGCACCCAGCACAATGCCGCCTTACCCCTTGCTTGCCGCAATCCTGCAACGCCAGTGTGGCCTTGGCAGGCTTCGTTCCGTCCGCTTTCGGTACGCTGGCATCGTAAATAAACGATACGTCTCTGCAAGACACCAGGAAGAACATGAACCAAATCCAGTCACGGTATACCGTCTTCAATACATACGACACTGTGCATAGAATATTGCAGTCAACGAAAGAGAATAGAAAAAAAGAACTCTACAACGTCGTAATGTTGTGTGGCCATGTCTGCATCGATTGTACACTTGATGCTATAATTAAAAGAAGAAGAAGAATTTTGCAATGTCTCCAGTATGGCTGGGTATTGGCCCCTACTATTGGGGGCTGGCATCCCCCCCCCCCTCTTGATCAGATCATGTATTCCTCCCAGGATAATCACTTACTTTCCGGCGCCGCAGAAGCAGACAGGCTGCTCGGTGAGATGCTTGAAGCGTGCCCGTTGAGCAGGGAAGTTCCACGCCGCAGCAGGCCTAGATCTCTGAGAGGCAGTGAAAAGCAGTATGGGGAGAACATCATCAGTACTCTCTCTCTCTCTTCTCTCTCCGTCTCTCTCCCTCCCTCATATACACACACACGCACGCACACACACACACACACACACACACACACACACACACACACACACACACACACACAGCTACACCTAAACAACACGTCGTTCCTAATACAACCACTGCAATGTAGCTCATAGTCAATAAAGGTCATCACATTGTCCTCACTACCGTCGACATGGTACATAATGCCAAAGAATATAGTAACCAGACCGTAGGCTATGAAAGTCTTCAGTCGGTCCTGGTTTGTCTGTTTGCAACTGAGATTCTCCAAAGGAAGATTGATACTGGATAGGAGAGTCTGTCTTTCAGCATCTACCCAGGAAGATGGCACATCAAAACTCCTTCCAACTTTTTCAGCAGGACCACTGAACCAGGTTATCTTGCGGCAAACATGCCAGCGCAGTTTTTTTACCACTACTGAGTGGGAATAATCTAAACGACAGTGGCTTCAAGGACTGTGATGAGCTGTCTACATTGTAGTCAGCTCATGCAGAAACTGAACAGACAAGAGCAGAGTTTGTAGTGTTCAGTGCATCATGGCATGGCATGCAACAGTATCTTGGTGTAACGTTACAGCACATTGTACTGCAACGCCTGCACTGTAGCGATATCACTAACAGAGTCACTACAGGCGCATGGCTGGTTTATCTCACTTGTCAAGTAATCCTCCTTGTCCCATGCTCCAGGAGTTAGGCAACAGCAAGAGCTGAATGCATGTCTGCGTGTCATGCAACCTATGACTTGTAGCTGCACCGGCCACCATGCCCAATTGCCCTGACAAGTTGCAATGGGGGTGAAGGCCAATGTTGCCGGAATGGTACATGCCACGAGTGATCCATGCACAATATACAATATAGATGCTGGCAAGTTGATCTGCAGCATTTGCATGAGCAGCATCTACCCTGGGCTTGTAACACTGTGCCGCAACGTATGCATGAAGAGTGCTACATTATGGTACATGAACTGTGCATGTGCTTGGAAGTGCATCGTGGATTACTTAGATGTTACAATGGGGAAACAATGACATAGCACTGGTGATAATGTTCATGAAAAAGTGGGTTTGTATTGGGTATTGTTGTAATCTATTAATTTTGTACATCGTCACTGTACTGTACCCTACCGTTGCTGCTAAACTGGTGTGCTGTTTCTTGCCCAATCGACTCCTGTCCCCAGCTCCAGTACCTCCTGCTGTTGTTACTGCTGCTGACGATGTTGCCATCGCTGTTGGCCGCTGATGTCTAGCTAGGGTAGCCAGCAGCTCACGAGGTACCGTGTCTAGCGCTACCATCGGGTTGCCCCCATTGCTCGCTGTGCCCGATGTTGCATGATTTCGTAACGGAGAGGCGCCGGCCGGCTTGGCAAGCTGTCGCTGCGTGCCTCCGTGGATGGGCGGCAGCACCAGTTGACCAGAGTCAGAGCGTGATGGCACTCTAGGCGTGGAGGGTGAGGCTGCCATCATCCGTCCTCTGCTTATTCCCCTAGCTCTGTCCGTCAGCAATCGTTTTCTCTGCGTTCGCTACTAGTACAATACTCCCGTTTCCCTCGACCCTCGGGCCGGTTTGCAACACCTAGCCACGGGAGTTACAGGACATAGGGACTGCATTAGCAACCAGACCAGCAGCGTGGCACACTAGGCAGTAGTACGCGAGACAGCTCATCGCTTTCAGCAGCGGGCCTTTCAAATGGCCACGGTGTGTGTTCTCTCTGTTTGTTAGTTTTCTCGCTATTTCAATAATATTCGTGACATGCAATCATGATTGTAGCATATATATCCACAGGGGAAATAATGAGGGTGGGTTCACCATGTTCACAGCTGATGATTTGGTTAGACAGTACACCAGGTACACGATGGTACACCTGTACTGGTACACATGGACGCACAGGCCGCTTCAAAAAAAAAAGCGACGGATGGTCACGCAAAGTTGCCAAGGAAACAGATGCATAGTGACAGCTAGCTATATAGCTGGCCATCTAATCTGTCAAGACCAAGACTCCGGTGGCAAGAGTGGCAAAACGGACTGTATAAGGCCGAGTAAAAAAAATTACTAGATGATCGTCCTTTTTTTTGGAAAAATCGGGGAGGCCGAGGGCGGGAGGATTTTATTTTTATTTTTTTACTTTTTACCCTCTCATGCACACAGTGTACACAACAACATCAAGGTTTTTTTCTCTTTTTTTCTTTTTTTTTCTTTTTTTCTTTTTCTTTCTTCAGCAGATCGATACTGACGTTGTGATATACTAGTAGTATGTGGTCCATATAGTAAAACTCACGATTTAAAAAATAAAATATTTCTTGGGGCGCTGACAAAAACTGGGGCGGACGGGGACGATCATCTAGCTTTTTTTTTTACTTGGCCTAAAGGAGTTCCGAGCGCGCATGTAATAAGCTACCGACGTCACTGAGATTTATTGCCATTGTAATATTATGACTGTTATCTGCTATTGGTCATAGGACTAGGAGTCATCAGGACTCATATATTATCACTTACTCTAAGTTTTGTACATGATGTAGCACAAAGTCAAAGAGTCGGTGGACAAGCCATAGCCAGTCACCATGGTTACATGTACTGCTAATGAAACAGTGGACCAGCCACACTAGTTTCTTGCACTGGTTAGTACACTGGTTAGTACACTGGTTAGTACACTGGTTAGTACACTGGTTAGTACACTGGTTTACTTTATGGCATCTGCAGTCAGTCTTTCCTGCATGTACATGACTACATGGTAGCAGATGCAGTTGCTTGGGCGATAGGTTTCCACTGAATATCTTATAATAAGTGTACTTCAAGTACACAGCTGTTAGCAATGGTAATGGCAAACCCCATGCTGTATTGCGGTAGTGGATTAGCAGCAGCAGCAGCAGCAGCAGCAGCATCATCATCACAGCAGCACACACACACAACTGCAAGAGCGTCATTCGCCATCAGCACCACACACACACACACACACACACACACACACACACACACACACAGGGGTTGGCGCACACGATGATTCAAGAACAAACTTTTTCAGTATTGAACAAGGAAATAAGTTCAAATAACTGCATTCCTTGAGGAGGGCAATTGCAAAGCAATAGCGGAGATGCCGCCAGCATGGCAGCCTGTTTTCCAGCAATGACTTGGAAGCACCAGACTTGCTTGAAGGGTTAAACAGCGTACGTGCAATGAAATCAAGCAACATACCGTACCTGACTGGGTACTGGCAGCAGCCATGTTAACCATGGCTGGATACTGGCAGCCATGGTAACCATGGCTGAGTATTGGCAGCAGCCATGGTAACAATGGCAGACTTCAACAGGGATGATACGCAACTTTACTCCGTGTGGTCTTGTAGTAGTACTAGAATACTAATTCGGATAGACGGCTGAGACCAGGCAGTATCGACTGGGATGAAGGCAGCAAGCATACAGTCATTATCAGGAAGACCGACGACTGCCGGAAGGCTTGCCGCACTAGAAACAGCAAACGCATTCGAAATAAAACTGAATAGATCCATAAATACTAGCGGAACCAGAAAAAAAGCACCGCTATCACCCGCGGTGGTTGTATCGCAGTGTATTGTGCAGTACGTCTACTGCATAAATACACAAAGCAAGAGGATATCGCAAGAGAACCTCGGTGGCTAAATTAATTTAAAAAAAAATCACAGCTACGGCCAAACTCACACGGTTCCTTGAGCTGGCGACTGAATACTGCGCAAAAAATAGAAGAGTCGATTCTACCGAGACCTCCCCGGGTCCCGTGTTGGCGTCGTGTTTCACCAAAAATAGTTTTATGCGGCGTAGTGCTTCCTTCCGTGAGTCGAGATGTCTGAGAGACAAACAAAAATCAGGGTTCTAGATGACATTGTGTTGTCGAGGGTGCAATGTAGCCGAGATAGGCTCCAATATACTGGATAACAATTGTTTTTTTTGCGATTCAGTAGAAGATCAGACACCTGGCAATGATCAGAATAGGTCTGGAGGTTGGAAAGATTTCTGCCAGTGATGGCCTGCTCCGGAGCGAATCAGCCGCTGAATCGCAACCTCTGCGACACAGTGCTTGGCGCGTTGGGTGTGGCGCGACCTCCGAATGCGTTTGGAACGTCCGGATAGGACGGTGTCTGGCTGGACTGCATCGCCTCGGTCGGGTCCTGACTCATCTTGAGCGGCGTCAGTGAGATGTCCGGATCGCCACCATCCTAGAACAATACAACAACACAAGTAACAGTGGTGAGGCTACCTGCAGCTTCATTTATAGGAAGTGGTTTTAGAGCAGGCCCGCTCTTACCCATTCACTCAGCAACAATATCAAACTCGTTTATCAATCAATTATTACGTTTCGGGGAAATCGCCCTCATCAGGTATGCAATGGTATGCAAGCTTCATAAGAACACAAGATTCAGTGAGCACTGGACTGAATAGACTTAGTCATACCAGCTACAGCCTACATGCCACATACCAGCTACAGCCCACACACCACATCTCAGGGCTGCCAGTCTTCTGTCAGAAGACATCTGAAAGTGGTCAGTGGGTGTCCCCCGGCCAGGGACCGAGGTTTAAGGGTGCAGTGTTCCCTTTATAAGCAGAAAACATTATTAGGATTCTAAGAGCCTGAAACAGATTACGGCACTTTCGTGAACAATCCTAGTAAGAAAAGGAAGGGTTGTTTTCGGTCAGTTTGTCGGAACGACCAGTACAAATCAGAGTGATTCCAAAAAGCAGCCAGGGTCCCCCATTTCACCCACACTTTTTGCTGCTTGCTGCCAGCTCAAACGCACAGGAGCATTACATTTCATTTATAAACGTGGATCGTTGACAGAAAAAACACACAAGTGCTAGACTTTCATAGTACTGTATATGCACACGCTTACCCTAGGTGTTGTGCAATCATTCTCGACACACCACTGCTGGAAGCACCTGCAAAAGGACAATGACACACAAGAAGAGAGAGAGAGAGAGAGAGAGAGAGAGAGAGAGAGAGAGAGAGAGAGAGAGAGAGAGAGAGAGAGAGAGAGAGAGAGAGAGAGAGAGAGAGAGAGAGAGAGGGAGAGAGAGAAGAGAGAGAGAGAGAGAGAGAGAGAGAGAGAGAGAGAGAGAGAGAGAGAGAGAAAGAGAGAGAAAGATAGGAACAGCAACTACAAATTACGCCATAAAGAGCCTAGAGGTCAGCAAAGTACATGTGCTATATTTGGCTATGGTTCAGGGGCTTCTCATGAGTAAGACTGACAGGGCAAGCCACAGACCACCACCCACACAGTACACTGCTGTACAACCATTTCAGCGAACAGTATACACGCTCGTCCAGGAGCCAAGCCTCCAGCTAAAAATACAGAAAGGAGTCTCCAAGAAGAGCCAGCTGTCATATTTTCCTGTGAAAGTGTTGGCTCAACTTACTTGGTTGGAGGAGCAAAAAAAAAAAGATTGTATGGAGAACCCGGGTATCGATCCCGGTACCTCTCGCATGCTAAGCGAGCGCTCTACCATGTGAGCTAGTCCCCCTACACACTTTTTGCTAAGCCTTGAGTACACTAAAAGGACACCACCGGACGGCCATACAAAGGTCATCACCATTGTCACCATTATCAACTTTACAGTGATGGAGTTGTCAGCCTCTCTGTTTGCCAATGATCAGCCATACGATGCAAACGGAATTGAAACAGCTTCGTTCCTGGACCGGACTAAGCACGTAGGGATTCACTGGCCAGAAAAAGCCGCTTCAATCAGCTGTGTGGTGGATACCAAGCTAAAATTAGTGGCGGTCAATTCATCAGCCTTGCACGCTGTTGAATGGTGGTAGGGAGGGAGGGAGGGAGGGAGAGAGAGAGAGAGAGAGAGAGAGAGAGAGAGAGAGAGAGAGAGAGAGAGGCAGAGAGGCAGAGAGAGAGAGAGAGAGAGAGGCAGAGAGGCAGAGAGAGAGAGAGAGAGAGAGAGAGAGAGAGAGAGAGAGAGAGAGAGAGAGAGAGAGAGAGAGAGAGAGAGAGAGAGGGAGGGAGGGAGGGAGAGAGAGAGAGAGAGAGAGAGAGAGAGAGAGAGAGAGAGAGAGAGAGAGAGAGAGAGAGAGAGAGAGAGAGAGAGAGAGAGAGAGAGAGAGAGAGAGAGAGAGAGAGAGAGAGAGAGAGAGAGAGAGAGAGAGAGAGAGAGAGAGAGAGAGAGAGAGAGAGAGAGAGAGAGAGAGAGAGAGAGAGAGAGAGAGAGAGAGAGAGAGAGAGAGAGAGAGAGAGAGAGAGAGAGAGAGAGAGAGAGAGAGAGAGAGAGAGAGAGAGAGAGAGAGAGAGAGAGAGAGAGAGAGAGAGAGAGAGAGAGAGAGAGAGAGAGAGAGAGAGAGAGAGAGAGAGAGAGAGAGAGAGAGAGAGGAGAGAGCTACAGGCAGTACAAACAAAAGAAAGGTAAAGGCAAAACTCACCAAGATGCGCTCCGCTGCTTATCTCGGTCCTGCGAGTCTCGGATGTACAGGCGAATGTTCTGCTCCAGAAAGTTGTCCGGTAGCATGCGGCTCACCTGTAACGAAACATATACAACCAGATTTAACACATAGATATACATGTAGTCTACATGCTGGCGAAGGTGACGGTGATGCTCAAATGTATTCAATGACCGAGAGCTCTATTGCAATAGACGTGCATAACACCAAATACGAGCCACCCGGGCACATTGGGGAGTAAAGCCTAAAGGACGCCTGCATCTTGACATTGTCCTGAACTCAGATGTCAGCTGGTGGTAGTGCAATTGGGACCTGATTACCTTCAGCTTAGTATTGACTCAGTGTGTTTCAATGTGTTTGCGTGGCTCGCATAATCGGCATGGCCACCCCAGCGTAGGTTCGAAGGATCAGTCCGCGACCCTTGCAGTGGCGGAAGCGCATATCGAATAGATATGTTGCATGGTGCTCCTTTTTCGAGTTAGTTGTACTTTGAAGTACGACTTTGCTTTGTTTTTCTCATTGTCGCACCATGGAAAATAAGTATTGACTCAATACCAATGACACTGCAAGGATTATCGGCTCATGATGAGAGAAAAAACCCTGTTCATCTGACATGCGCAAAACCAAACATCCATGATAACCACCATGTTAAAACAAGAGTCGGGATAAGGGAGGTCAAGGAATCACGTGAAGTTCTACTGTAGATAACAGATGCAATCGCCATGGCTACAGGCTAGTATGCTAGTATGCTAGTTCCCTACACCTCTAGTCTAGAGCTACGCAACTGAGACCGTACTTGCTCTCGGCGAACTTTCGACGCCTTGTTCGGCTGGTCCTTCTGGTAGAAGCGCATGCGATCGATGGGATCCTCGTGTCTCATGCCGTAGCTGAAGTTCACAATCTGTCAGCAGCAGCAGCAGCACAGGCAGCAGCAGAACAAGTCAAGGCACTTCACACACAGTCCAGCGGAGGACAAACAGACAAACAAGTCAACCACTGCACATGCAAGCCAACAGTCACAAGAACAGCTGTGTAGTAGACGGACTTTCCCCTACACAAATCACTATGTATTACTATGTATTGCACTATGCATTGCTGACACCATCAGATCCCTTGCTTTCATTCGCTAGCTAGCGCTCGGAGCTGTAACTGGCAATCTCGTACCATATATAGATCCGTGTGCCAGTTGCCCAGCTCAGTTGTTGCAGAGTCTTTGCCTCCGTTGTTTCTGTCGTCTTCCCTTCACTTATTGAGTCTTTCAATATACTATAAGTAATTCTGTGCCACCTACGTTTGTCTTCTCGTGCAATATTGTTCCCTGAGAATACTACCTGTGTTTTGCCGGAGAGACTGAACCAGTTTTGCCTTGTCACTCGGTCGCGTACTACATTTGGTGGCAGCGGTGTTAGCTCTGCGTTCGTCAGTCGCAGTATTCCGGACCACGCCTCGTTATTTCACCGTGCAGTGAACGTTGCCGTTGCCGTTCTCGTCTCAACTCAAGCTGAGTAACTTTGTTCCGTGCCAATTTACGATTTTAATATTTACATTTTTGTAGTGCTAGTATTTTCTAGGCTTACTTTGTTGGATCTATTCGTAGTCTTGTCCCCTAAGTAAGCTAGCTTATCGTTGCCAGTTTTTCTTGCACTGCTCGCCGTACTTGAACTGTTGCTATAGCGTAGGCTTAGTCCTCAAACGTGTCCCGTGTTGCTGGCGAAGTCCTATAGGCCTACTTGTTGTTTGTTATCCTTATATACACGACACCGAAAATGGCACAGAATCCTCAAGCTGCTGCTGCCGCTGCTGCTCCCGCTGCACCAGCTCTGGCTCCGGGTCAGGTTCCGGCTCCTCGACAGGCACCACTTGCTCGGCCGGTAGTTGTACCGCCGACGTTTGGGGGTGCCAGCCAAGACGATTGGCACTGCTTCATCGCCAGGTTCGACGCAGCGTGCGTGGTAAATGGGTACCGGGATGCGGAAAGGCTGCAGTTTTTACCTTGTTGTTTCAAGGAGAGTGCTTTTACAACTTACCAGACCATTCTGGCGGCGCACCCGCAGTATACGTATGTAGAAATGTGCACCGAATTAGGGCTACGGTTCGAACCGCCACAGCAAAGTCGCCTCCTTGAGGCCGAGTTTCGAGCTCGCCTGAAACGATCAACTGAGTCCCAGGCCGAGTTCGCCGCAGCTCTTCAGCGCCTTGCGGCACGCGCCTTTCCAGGTCAACAGGGTCCGCTGTTAGATCGCCTGACGCTCAATCAATTTATTGACGGCCAGGTCAATAGTGACCTGCGCCTGCACATCAGGACATCCAGCCCTGCAGCCCTCGATGCCGCCGTTCGACGGGCGTACGAAGTATTAGTTGCAGCGATCTTAGAGGTCGAGAATCGCCGCAGTCTTCCGGTTCCTACACCAGCCTGCGCTGCCCTGACCGCCTCTATGCCTCAGGCACACTCCGTAGGTCCACTCGCGGATCCGACTCCAACGTCCAGTGCCACCGTGGCCCACGTAGCTCCGAGTTCGACTTCGAGCTCCACCGACCCGCTCGTACTATCGTTGTTGAGCAAAATTTCGGACCAGTTAGCTGATCTACAGGTCTTCTCCGCAACCTCCGCTCCGTCGCCACGGGCGTATAGTGACGACACTCGAGCTCCACGCGGCCGTGGTCACAGCGTCTTCCCTCGAAGCGCGCCCATGTCGGGCCCAACTCGATTTCCTGGCAGCTCGAATCGTAACCCGCCTCCGTACAACGGCACAGGCCGCGGACTTTACGATGGCGCGCGTGATCGCGGGTGCTTCACTTGTGGCGATCCGTCCCACTTCCGTCGTGATTGTCCCCACTCGACGCGTGGCAGTCGTCAGTCGGGAAACCGCTATTGACTGGTGCTGCTCGGCAAGCTCCAGTCTTCGATACTAGTGTTCCTAGCTCGACTGTGCCGACTTGTACTGGTTGTGAATGTCGTCCCTGTTATTGTACTGTTGATGTGCGTTGCCCTACGTCTGCACCTGTGACTGTGTGTCCTGTTACTCATGTTCAGTCGTCTTCTGCAGTTTCTCCGTCTGTCTATGTCGAGGTTAGTCTCCAAGATACGAAATGCCATGCTCTTGTTGACACTGGTTCTAGTGTTTCACTTGTGTCTACTGCATTGTGGCGTAGTCTGTGCACGACCTCCTCTGTCCCTGTGTCTGCTGCTCCTGTTGTGTCTGGTGTGACGGGCCGTCCCCTCTCCACTACGGGTACCGTGTCCCTCTCTGTTTGTACACCCTCGTTCGTAGCTGTTCAGAATTTTATCGTTGCTGCTGATATCACGTCTGATGTAATCCTCGGTGCTGACTTCCTCCAGCAGCACAATGTCCTGCTTGATTTCTCCCGGGCTCAGTTGGTCCTGGATGATGTTAAATTGCCGCTTGTACCCCTTCCACGTGTGCGTTCGCTTTCTGCTGCTGTTGCTGCCGCGCCCACACCAGCCCATGTTACGACTGTCGTGCCCGACCTGAGTGCTCCGACTGTTCCTGCTGCCGTCGCTGCCTCCGTACCTGCTGCCGTCCCTGCCTCCGTGCTTGCTGCTGCTGCTCAGCCTGCTGCTGCTGCCAATGCTGTTGAATCTCCGGTGTCTCGTGTTGCTTCCTCGTTCCGTGTGTGCATCACACAGTCTGTTTCAGTTCCGCCCTGTCATGAAGTCATTCTTCCGGTTGCCCCGTCGGTATGTGCTGCTGGCTCTCCTGCTGCTGATACTTCGTATCTAATCGAGCCACTTGATTCGTTCTCAGAGAAACACCCGACATTGGATGTCGGAACGTCTGTCACGTCCCCGGATAACTTGGTTATCAATGTGGTTAACCGTGGTACCACCCAGATTACCTTGCATGCAAATACTCATATTGCTGTATGTGAACCTGTCCCTGAGTGTGCTGACACTTGTGCTGCTGTTGATGATTCGCCGTTCATGCCGCCGCCGCCTGTACCAGTAGAGAAGATTGATGCGTATATCGAAAAGAATTGTTGTCACCTATCACCAACGGACCGTTCTACCTTGCGTGACCTTCTCCTGCAGTACCACGATGTATTTGCTCTTCATCCCGACGACCATGGGTACTGTGATCTTGCGCCACATAAGATAGACACAGGTGATCATTCGCCTGTTAAACAACAACCTTACCGTGTTCCATTCCGTCATCGTGAGCAGCTCCAGAATATTATCAATGACCTTCTGCAGAAAGGTGTCATTACTCCCTCTGCGAGCCCGTGGGCTTCGCCTGTTGTCCTCGTGCCTAAGAAAGATGGCTCTCTGCGTCTCTGTGTTGACTATCGCCGGCTCAACAAGATCACCACAGCTGATGCTTATCCTCTTCCTCGGGTCGACGATACCCTAGACGCGTTCTCTGGCTCTAAGGTATTCTCGACACTTGACCTTGCTAGTGGCTACTGGCAAATCGCAATCCACCCTCAAGATCAAGCTAAAACAGCCTTCGTGACGCCCCTTGGGTTGTACGAGTTCACGGTTCTTCCTATGGGTTGCTGCAATGGGCCTGCCACATTTCAGCGCTTGATGCAAACGATCCTAAATAATCTCCTTACCAGTCCTGATCCCGTCTGCCGTGTGTTTTTTGATGACATTGGCCTTGGGTCAGCCACTGTTAGTCTTGGCTTGGATGGCCTCCGGTCCGTTTTCACGTGTCTTCGTCGGTACAATCTCAAGCTTCGGCTTGAGAAATGCGCTTTCCTGCAGCCCCGCACTAAGTTCCTTGGTGTGGACATCAGTGCCGATGGTCTTCACACCTCAGCTTCGAAGGTTCACGATATTGTTCACTGGCGTACGCCGACATCCGTTCGTGAAGTGCGTGGTTTTCTCGGCCTCGCTGGGTATTACCGGAAATTTGTTCCGCACTTCGCGCAAGCTGCCGCCCCACTGGCCGCACTCACTAAGAAAAATGCGAAGTTTTCCTGGGGTCCTGCTTGTCAGGCTGCTTTCTGTGTACTAAAAAAACGCCTCTCATCTGCGCCTGTGCTTGCTCAGCCTGACTACACGTCTGCCGCCGCTCCCTTCATCCTTGATGTTGATGCCAGTGATTTTGGTATGGGCGGTGTGCTCTCTCAGGTTCAAGATGGCCATGAGTGTGTGATTTCCTACGGTAGTGCTATTCTCAACACCGCCCAACGTAACTACTCCACTACAGAGAAGGAACTCCTTGCATTTGTTCACTTCGCTGATGTGTTCCGCTACTACCTCGTTGGTCGAGCATTTGTTGTGCGCACTGATCATGCTGCTCTCAAATGGCTCCATTCGCTCAAGGAACCACGCGGTCGTCGTGCCCGTTGGTTAGAACAACTTGCTGAACTCGAGTTCACGGTTATTCATCGCCCTGGCCGTCAACATTGCAATGCCGATGCTCTGTCTCGCCGTCCTCCTGAGTCTGTTGCCGCCACTACCCGTCAGTCACCGCCTGACCAGTCGTCACCAGCAGCTCCTGCTCCTGCTTGTGATCCTGTACCCACTGTACCGAAACCTGCACCTGACTCCTGGCTGCCGCGCTTTACTGCTGCTGAGCTGCTTGCTGCGCAAAAAGAGGATCCTGATGTGTCCATTGTGTTAGGCTGGCATGATTCTAGTCATGATGTGTTTAATTCTCCCCCTGCACACACATTAACTGCCTCTAGCCGTGCTGTTCGCCGCTATGCTTCTGAAATTCATTTGCTTTCCCTACGTGATGGTGTTTTGTATCGCACAGACCCATCGGCTGATTCTGTTTTGCAATTAGCTGTTCCGTTCTCTTTCCAAGCTGATATCTTATCTGCAGTGCACGCCGATGTTAGTGGTGGTCATCTCGGTGCTACAAAGACCATTGACAAGGCCAAATGCCGTTTCTTCTGGCCAGGTATGTCAGCTGATTTGCGCACATTTGTAGCTAATTGCCAAGAGTGCATGTCCCGTAAGAGCGCTACGACTGGCCGAGCACCATTGCAGTCCATGCGAGCTGGCTTCCCTAACGAGATCGTAGCCATGGATCTCGTTGGACCACTGCCTACCAGTCGCCATGGCAACCGTTACCTACTGGTATGTAGTGACTACTTCTCACGTTGGCCTGAAGCGTACCCTCTACCCACTATGACTGCTGCTGCCGTTGCGGATGTGTTCTTTCGGAACTGGATCTGTCGGTTTGGTGCCCCAGAACAACTCCACACCGATCAGGGCACACAATTTGAGTCTGAACTCTTCAGTGAACTGTGTCGCCTCATGAATATCCGAAAGACTCGGACCACCGCGTATCATCCCCAGGGCGATGGGCTCGTGGAACGCCTCAACCGCACCATAGTTTCAACGTTGCGAGTGTATGTAGCGGATCTGCCCACCTTCTGGGATCAGCATGTTTCAACCGTCCTGCTTGCATACCGTACAGCCAAGCATTCTTCTACCCCAGCTCAGCTTATGTTTGGTCGCCAACTCCGTCTGCCTATCGACCTTGTCTATGGGTCACCCCCGACAGAGTTTGTGTCGCCCGCCGAATATGTAACACAACTGTCCAAGTCCCTCCACCATAGCTTCGATACTGCCCGTCGTAATGATAATGCTGCGCACCACAGCCAGAAGGACCACTACGACCTTCGTCAACGTGGCACTGCATTCCAAGTCGGTGATAGTGTGTGGCTCCTTGAACCTGGAATGCGTCGCAAACTCCAGCCACCGTGGACCGGACCATACCGGATTGTCCATGTGTCGCCGCCAACGTCATACGACATTCAATTGATCAACGAGCCCTCCAGCACCAGTAAGCGTGTACATTTCAACCGCCTCAAGCTACACGCCCGCTCAAACGCCAAGTCGTCAGTCTCTCAGTCCGG